TATGGCTCTTGAAGAGAACCTGAGTTTGGTTCTTAGCTCCCACATTGGGCGGCTCACAACTGCCTGTAACTCCAGCTCCTGGGGATCTGACCAGAGTAGCCTCCTTGGGTACTGCACTCATTTGCACATCACCACACACAGACACACAGAAACACATAATTAAAAATTTATTAGGCGTGGTAGCACACACCTTTAATCCCAGCACTCGAGGCAGAAGCAGGTGGATCACTATGCAGCCTGGTCTATATAGTGAGTTCCAGGTTAGCTGGGGCTACAGGGAGACCCTGTCTCAAAAAAAAATTTTTTTTAAATAGTTGTCCATCTAAGAAAAGTGAAGACATGTTCACAAAAAGACTTCTACATAAATGTTTAAAGTGGCAACATTTTAGAATAGCCCCAAAATAAAAATAATCCAAAGTTTATTAATAAATGGATAAATTTTAGTGCCTATGTAGTACAGTATTGTTCAACAGTAAGGAAATTTTAAAAAAGATAACATGCATACAAGAACATGGATGAGGCTGAGGCACATACTTAGGATTCCAGCACTCAGGTGGTTGAGACCAGAGGGTTGTTTTAAGTTCAAGGCCACCCTTTTAGGTTCAAGGAAGACCTTGACTCAAAAAGGGGGATGAGGATGTGGCTTGGTTGGTAGAGTATTTGCCGAACATGAGTGAAACCCTGGGTTCCTTTCCCAGCACTGCAAAAACAGACCACGATATGCATACCTGTAATCTCAGCACTTGGGAGGTAGAGGCAGGAGGATCAGAAGTTCAAGGATGACCTCAGAGCCCTGCCTGGACACATTGTTTAGAGTTTAGAAAAAGTACAAGACTTAGAGCCATAAACCTCTATTCAGAGGTTGTCTCTGGCTTTTTCCAGCTTTGTAATGCTAAATGTACTGAATCCTGTGTGTTTTGAGTTTTCATCTGTTGGATCAGTCTACAGTCTAGGTGTCCTTTTTTGAGTCAGGGTCTCCCTGTAGCCCCAGCTGCCCTGGAACTCACTATGTAGACCAGGCTGGCCTCGAACTCACAAAGATCCACCTGCCTCTGCCTCCCAAGTGCTGGGATTAAAGGCATGCACCACCACACCTGGCTATAATAACTTTTGACTTTGCTCTTCAGTGTAGTACAGTGTCAAGATTTATGCCACTGACCAGAAAGAAATCTGATGTATTGGATGCTACTCAAGAACGACAAATGCTTATATGGTTCATCTTTGGTGTGTTACAGGTTCAGCTTGTTGGTTTAGATGAGGAGAGTTCAGAGTTTATTTGCCGAAACACCTTTGACCATCCATACCCCACCACAAAGCTGATGTGGATCCCTGATACAAAAGGCGTCTATCCAGACCTTCTGGCAACAAGTGGAGACTATCTCCGTGTGTGGAGGGTAAGCAGATGCTTTATTAGCAGCCACATAGATGGGTTTTCTCAGAGTTAGCTGTTAGCAATGTGGAGTCATGAAGCGCAGACAGGTATTTTCATCAAAACATGGAAGAAATGGGAAGTGGATATGGATCAACTTTGTTTAGCTAAGCGAATTTTCTAGTAAGTCTAAGCAAGATGACATGAAGTCTTAATGCTGGCTTCAGTCAGTCTTGGAAACTTGAGCCTCAGTAACCTGAGGTATCAGAATAGTCTTCTGTGGGACTAGGACCACTTGGGACCAAACACTTGGGACCTCCTATTTAGTTGAAAGCCAAGGTATTTTTGAATAAATTAAATAAAATCCCAGGATGTCGATTCTAATAAAATATGTGTGTGGATCTTCCCCCTTTTAAAAAAATTATTTTTATTTTATGTGTTCTATTCCCAGCGCTCAGGAGGCAGAGGCAGGAGGATCTCTGTGAGTTTGAGGCCAGTCTAGTCTCCATAGTGAATCCAGGCCAGGTAGAGCTACAGGGAGACCCTCTCTCAAAAAAGAGACCAAAAAACAAAACAAAACAACAACAACAAAAAAACATAATCAGGAACTGGAGATATGGCTCAGCAGTTAAGAGTACTGGCTGCTCTTGTAGAGGGCCTGGGTTCAATTCCCAGCACCCACACAACAGCTAACAACTGTCCATAACTTCAGTTCCAGGGGAATTCAATGCCCTCTTCTGACCTCTGTGGACATTGCATGACATAGGTGCACTACACACATGCACATGCACATTATTTTTCATACACATGAAAAATAATAAATAAAATAAATCATAATCATACAAGGTTCATAAATATGACACTTCAGAACTCAGAAAACAATGAGATTTACATTTTCAAAGAGGTAAAGTAGATTAAATACAAGCAACCAAGACAAAACTAGATGAGACTTCTTAAGGAAACACAGGAAGCTGGACGAAAGCAAGGGAAGATGATTTACATTCTAGAGTTCTAGCCTCAGTCAAAATACCATCTGATATGTGTATGAGTGTATTGCCTGTATGCATGTGAGTGCACCCATGTCGTGCAGTGCTGCGGAGGTCAGAAGAACGTGTTGGATTCCCCTGGAACTGGAGTTAAGGATGGTTTGTAGCTGCCATGTGGGTGCTGGGAATCAAACCCAGGTCCTCTGAAGAGCAGTCAGTGCTCTTAACCACTGAGCTATCTCTCCAGCCCCAGATCTTCCCTTTTTATCCAAGCCCAGCAGCCAGGGTATCCCTTGCAGCCTGGAGTATACGGCCCAGCAGACAGGGTGCTAAAATCTGGGGAGGGCAAAGTGAGGGCTTCCCTTTAGAGGTGAAAACCTAGAATGCAAAGCTGGGTGAAGGGGAAGCTTTGAAAGAAGTCCAATTCAGGGAGCTCCTCTGGGTTTTATTAATCTTTATCATAAAAATGTTTTCTCCTCTCTGGGAGTGGTGGCGCACGTAGTGAGACATTTAGAGATTCAAGATCCCCAAAGTTTTTTGTTGTTGTTGTTTGTTTTTGTTTTTTGTTTTTTACTGTACCAATTTTCATGAAACTAGTACAGAAAGTCCTCCATCCACTGAAAGACGAAGGGGGAGCTAGTTAGGAAAGCCTAGAATCCAATAGACAGAACCGCATAAAAGGAATTCAAGGATGACAGTATTTAAAGACATCAGGCTGGGTTCTGTTAAAACCAGTTTCAACATCTTAGAAGAGGTACAGAAAGAATGCATGAGCCAGGGGATGGGGAGAAGTGCTGTGAGACACTGTCTTCTGTCATGACAAAGTGATGGTGCTCATGAACTCACAGCAGATGTGGTCACCTGCACAAGGTCAAGCCAGTCAATATTTCAGCATGGATGGGGGAGGGGCTCACGAGTCCCTATCCCAGTGGCTTCTGGAGGAGAAGGGGGAGTCATTTTCATACTCAGGTGGATTGCCCCATATTTCTGAACATGCAGATAGCACTAATTTGACTCAGTGGGTCATACAAAAAAAAAAAAAAAAGGAGGGACTGGAGAGACGGTTCAATGATTGAGAGCACTGGCTGTTCTTGCAGAGGCCTGGGGTTTGGTTCCCAGTATCCACATGGTGGCTAACAACTATCTGTAACTCCAGTTCCAGGGGATCTGATGCCCTCCTCTGGCCTCTGCAGGCATTGCATGCATGTGGTGCACACACACACACACACACACACACACACACACACACATATATATATATCTATATATATAGGCAAAACATTCATACACATAAAATACAAATAAATAAAAACTTAAAAAGAAGAGGACGCTGCTTCCCTGGGCTACACAACCTGCCATTCTCCCTCCCAGAGAGCCCTCTGGGCCTGGTCCCTCCCTCACCTCCCTCTGCTTCCAGGTAAGGTTTATTTGAGAACAACTGGTCTTTAACCAAAATTTATCTACATGACACACAGTAATTAAAAGTACCAGACTGGTGGAACTAACCTTCTTGGATGCTTAACAGACATACTTTGAGGCCTATACTAATTTGGTCAGAGGGACATAAAGGACAGTTTTTGTTGAGCTCACTATGTAGACCAGGTTGGCCTTGAACTCACAGAGATCCTCCTGCCTCTGCCTCCTGAGTGCTGGGATTAAAGGTACGCACTACCACACCCAGCTCTAATTTTTATTTTTTTATGGGGCTACAGGGAGACCCTGTCTCAAAAAGACCAAAAAAACCCCAAAAGACTTGTATCACATACAAGTAAAAGATTACACATTATATAAATGCTATATTACATATATTCATACAAACATATATGTTAATGATTACATGTATTTATGGAAGATCTTTCCTAGGACTTACACTGATATGCCCTGATAGTTTTTTTGCCTCTCCCAAGTTTCCAAAATGGAAATGCAGGTCTGCAGTTGTATCAGACAACTCTACCAGTCACCTTATGGTTGACACTCTGGCCAGAAGCCACAGTCACTGTGAAATGAAAAAGCATGAAGCTGGGGCTGTAGGGAGACCCTGTCTCAAAAAGACAAAAAAAAAAAAAAAAGTTTTCTCCTCATGCCTTAGATTTACTAAATAGGACTTTAAAGGTATGTGTGTGAGTGTGTTGGTGTGTGTGAGAGAGAGACACAGACAGACAGACTGACAGACTAGAGACTGGCTAACTTTTTAAATTGTTATTCTTTCAGGTTGGTGAGACAGAGACCAGGCTGGAATGTTTGCTAAACAATAACAAGAACTCAGATTTCTGTGCTCCCCTGACCTCCTTTGACTGGAATGAGGTGGATCCTTATCTTTTAGGTAAGAGAGTTTGAATCCTAGTTTGAAGAAAACAAAGATGCATTTCCTCAGGTGTAATACTGGACCTGTTTTTATCCAGTGGTCTGAGGTACACACATCATCCTAGAACAGACCAAGGGAAATAGGCTAAATATGGAATGTGGTTATTAGTTCCTCACAGAGTTCAACTTTCCATGTGTGCTATCTTGTTTCTCCAATTAAAGTCTAAGGTCCTGGGCTATAGTGATGGACTCAGCTAGTCTACAAAGTGAGTTCCAGGCCAGCTGGGACTACAGGGAGCCCCCCAAAAAATTGAGGGTTCTGCAGGTATGATGGTGCACATCTATAACCCCAGCACTTAGGAGGCACAGTCGGGGATTTTTAGTTCAAGATCTGCCTGAACTACATAAGGACACTCTGTCTGAGGACACTCAAGCATGTGCTCTCACCCCATCCCCCCAAAAAGAAGTCAGTGCTTAGAAAATGTTTGTGGTCTATTGTTCCTTGGGCCAAGCAAAGGAAGAGGGAAGTTTGTATGGGAATGTCACACCTGTCAGTCCTAACTTGCATTGGTGTTTACAGGTACCTCAAGCATTGACACAACTTGTACCATCTGGGGACTAGAGACTGGTCAGGTATTGGGGCGAGTGAATCTTGTGTCTGGCCATGTGAAGACCCAGTTAATTGCCCATGACAAAGAGGTAATGATGTTTTTCCTTTTTTTCTTTTTCCAGATGTTCTTGGTGCTTGCAAATGAGAGGTTAGATTGTTTTCTCACTGTTTTGCAGGTTATATTAAACACCATAATGCTGACATGCTTCTTGTCTAAGTTGAAAATAGTAATATGTTGAAACAGCAGAAAACAACAGTTGTAAATAAATGTACCTTTAAAAAATATCAGAGATGTGTGTGTGTGTGTGTGTGTGTGTGTGTGTGTGTGTGTGTGTAAGTAAGTAAGTAAGTAAGTAAGTAAATGCAGGCATGTGTATGCCATGGTGCATGTGTGGAGGTCAGAGGACAGCTTTCAGTAGTTGATCCCTTCTTCACTTTGGGTTCCAAGGATCAAACTCATGTTGTCAGGTTTTCACAGTAAGTGCTTAAGTCTCTTACAGAAACACTAAGAGCTTCTTGAAGGTAAGGCAGAGACAGCAAGAGGGGAGATTTCATGACAGACAATCCTAATTACCAGTTTTTTGCTAAAAAAATTTTGTGAACTCTAGTGTGTCTATTTAATCTTTATATTTTCAGTAGTTTTTGTAAGCAAATATATCTTACTTGGGTGATGTTTCTTCTAAGTTGGAGAAGCTGAGGGAAGTTTTCCTTTGGTGATTTGGAGAAGTAGTCATATCTTTCCTCCTATAGCTGTTCTGTATTCCTGATCTTATTTCCAGAAGGTGGTTTCCTTTTCTGTTCTCCTTTACCAGTACAGATAGTGATGTTAAATTTGAATAGGTTAAACAAATGTCATGACCTTAAGCCAGAAACTTGAGGTCGTCACCAGAATGTCAAGGTGGTAACAAGGTTGCCCTTTGGCTTTCTGTACTCCTGAGAGTAAGGTCTGTTAAAAGACTACTGGACTTGACTCCTACTAAACCAAGGTTCAAATGAAGCATTTGCTCTGCAGAGAGGACCAGCTAAGGAACCTCTGGAAAGTGTCTAGTAGAAAGAGCCTTTTGTTCTCTGCTAGATCCAGCCCAAAGGTGGGAACTACTCGAAATCTCTGGGGATCTATCTAGCACAGTGATAGAATGCTTGCCTAGCATGCACAAGGCCTAGGTCAGCCGCTAGTAATGGGGGTGGGGGATTTCAAAAATTCATCAAGGGGATTTAAGCCAAGGGAGCACTTAACATAGTTGATGGTGATGTTGAAAAGCTACCCAGGCCGCAGGGTGGTAATTGGGAGGACAGGTAGCAGGAAGTGGCTACTGGCTTGGACTGAGCAGGCTGAGGTTACTGGATGCAAGGGTCTGGGGGTACTCTGCTTCTGAACGGAGACAGGGAAAAGAAATACATAACTTCCTCCTGTTTCCCAGTATCCAATTCCTACCACAGTCTCCTGTGACTGAATCAGCCAGAAGCAACCAGCAGACCAGGGACCCTGCCAAACTCAGCCTGTAGGAATTAGTTCTCTTGTGATAAAAAGTTGACCAGGAGGAAGACTGGGGATGGATCAGAGCACAGGAAACAATAAAGAATGGGCCTTAAAAGAGTGAACCCAGCTGGGCACGGTGGCCTTTAGTCCCAGCACTTGGGAGGCAGAGGCAGGTGGATCTCTGTGAGTTCAAGTCCAGCCTGGCCTACATAGTTCCAGGCCAGCTGGGACTACAGGGAGACCCTGTCTCAAAAACACCAAAAAAGAAAAAAAAAAGAGTGAGCCCAAACCGGGCATGGTAGGGCACACCTTTAATCCCAGCACTCCAGAGGCAGAGGCAGGTGGATCTCTGTGAGTTCAAGACAAAGCCTGGTCTCCATTGTGAATCCAGGCCAGCTGTGGCTGCAAGGGAGACCATCTCAAAAAGACCAAAAAAAAAAGTGAGCCCAAGGGTGGGGACTGATTGTCTGGGAGACTTCTGTGGCTGGCTGGCAGATTGGAATAGAGAAGGGTGTATACATTTGGGAGTTATTACCTTCCTTTCTTTCCTGATAAAATTGGCAGGTAGAACATGGCTGAGAGAACTTTGTGCTCTGAGTCACACTTGTCTGTGCGCACACCTATAGTGTCTCTGTCACTGAGGGTTACCCAGAACCAACAGGAAAACAAATGCCAAACAAAATTCTCTTTCTGCAATCAAGGGAAACGACAACTGACTTTGGGTATAGAAGGACACAGGTAGGATTTCTAAAAAATGTAAGCACTCTTGAGGTTCTGCATACTAAGGGACAAGCTCTGCCAATAGATGCCCACCTCCTTCTGTTCTATGAAAAAATATTTCTCTATGGCGAAGATTAAGAGTAGTTCAAAAGGAAAGGAAGGGACTGGAGAGATGGCCAGATGTTTAAGAGCACTGGTTGCTCTTGCAAAGGACCCTGGATTCAGTTGCCAGCATCCACATGGCAGCTAACAACCATCTGTAATTCCAGTTCCAGGGGATCCGACATCCTCTTCTGACCTCTGACGGCATTGCACACACATGGTGCACTTACATACATGCAGGCAAAATACTCATACACATAAAATAAAAATTTTTTAATTTAAAAGAGCAGTTCAAAAGGACAAGGTACAGGGGCACATGCCTACTATAATCCTAGCACTTGGGTGGTGAAGGCAGAGGGCCAGAAGTTCAAAGTCATTTTCTGCTATATAGCAAGTTCAAGACTAACCTGGTCTACATGAGACCCTGTCTCAAAACAAACAGGCATAGTGCTGCACACCTTTAAACTCAACACTCCAGAGGAAGGCAGATCTCACAGAGGCCAGGCTGGTCTCCATAGTGAGTTCCAGGGCTACATGAGACCCTGTCTGAGAAAACAAAAAGCAAACAACAAAATGGAGGGGGGTGGGAAAATGTGATTCAAAGGGAACTTGGGCACTATAATTCTAGCTCTTGGGAGGTAAAGGTACGGTGATCTCAACTTTGATGCCAGCATGGGCTGTATAACAGCAAGACCCTGGCTTCTTAGGCCTGACATATCTAACAGACCAAGGCTTTGCCTAGTACTGTTCAGCTATGTAAGGACAGATATGTGTTTAATTGGCTGAAGCTGTTTAGCAAGTTTAAGGCCAACCCGGGCCACATGAGACCTTTTTTTGATACCCCCCCCCCCCAAAAAAAACTCCCAAATGAATGTTACCTTTTTCTTAGAAATTAATCTCAGAAAAAAAAAATTAATCTCAAGTCTAGAAGCAAGGGACATCCACTTGCTCAGGCTTCTACTGAGCCTATGAATAGAGTACTTGTTCAGGCTTACTTGTGCTTTGCTGGTTAGCCAGGTATGTAGCTTTTGTTTAATCACAGGATTTGTAGAAAAAAGATATAAAAAACAGCATGGGAAGAAGCCAGCCAATGTCTGTGGAGAAGGATCTTCAGTGTTGTAGAAGCAATTTCTGTTAGAGCTCTAGGGGTTCCAGTATTCAGGCTCCATTTGGGCTTCCGTTACCTGCTTTTGTTCCATGAGTTGGAGTTTAGACAAACTGGCAATGACAGATTTCTACCCTATAGGAAAAGGAGGTGACCAATCTGAATCTGATTGAAACTTCCTACCAACAGGTCTATGATATTGCATTTAGCCGAGCTGGAGGTGGCAGGGACATGTTTGCCTCTGTGGGTGCTGATGGCTCGGTGCGGATGTTTGACCTCCGCCATCTGGAGCATAGCACCATCATTTACGAAGACCCACAGCATCACCCATTGCTTCGCCTCTGCTGGAACAAGCAGGACCCTAACTACCTGGCCACCATGGCCATGGATGGAATGGAGGTAAGCACGATAGGCCTTGTCCCCCAACTCTAGGCCTGCCTAGTGTATCTACCAGAATGGCTCACAGGTGCTGGCAGTTTTGTGTCCAGGAGATCTTTGAAAATACCTAGAGACATTTTTCATTGTCACAGTTCAGGGCAAAGCATGAAGTGTTCTTGGCATCTAGTAGGTACAGATCAGCAAGGCTGCTAAAATCCTATAATGCACAGGACAACTCCCAACAGTGGTAGTCTACTCAAAATGTCAATAGAGCCTAAATTGAGAAACTCCGACCTAGAAAAAAGGCTGTGTTAAGAACTTATTCCCCCCTTTGGTGAGACATAGTCTCACTCTGTAGCCTAGGCTGGCCTGGAACTCATTATGTATCCCAGGTATCTCAAACCACTGCAATTGCCCTGTCACCTGTGCTAAGAATTTCTAGTAGAGGGCCTGGAGCGCATTGGCTGCTCTTGCAGAGGACCTGGGTTTGGTTTCCAACACCCACATTGCTTCTAACAACTGTCCTTAACTCCAGTTCCAGGGGATCCGATGTCTTCTTCTGGCTTCCATGGGCATTGCATGACACAGGTACACTTACATACATGCAGGCAAAACACTCAGACATAAAAAAAAATGTTTTTAAAGAATTTCTAATAGAGAATTGGAGTTGAAGCTAAGACTAGTATCTAAAGTGAATCAGGTCATGATTATGGGACTAAGTGAAAAAGCAGGCTATTTTCCCCTTTGTTTCTAGACAGATTGTCCAGCTATAGCAGACAGAGAGATAAATACAAGCTCTAAAGTCTGCTAATTTTTATGAAAGGGTTGAATTGTTGGTTGAGGGGATATAGTGGTTAATGTTGGGTGAAGCGAGTGCCTAGACTTCTTACCTTCCAAATCTGCTTTGGTGAGGCTCTTGTTCTGCCTCACTGAGAAGCACAGAGTTGTTATTTAAGTAATTAACAAAGGTGCTTGGTGGATCATCCAAACTCACATTGCCTGGTCCTGTGTTGTTCAACACAGAGACTAAACTACCTGTATATGTTCTTTTATTTCTATTTTCTCATCCTGAGGGAATCCTGTCTTTAAAAGCTTTTAAATCCACAAATGAAACTACTATGCTTAAAATTTTGTGTGTGTGCAGAGTGTTTTCTGTTTTTCTTGCCACACCCTGCAGCTCTTAGGCCTTTTACTTGTATTTCTACAGGTGGTGATTCTGGATGTCCGAGTTCCCTGCACGCCCGTCGCCAGGTTAAACAACCACCGAGCTTGTGTCAATGGCATTGCTTGGGCCCCACATTCGTCCTGCCACATCTGTACTGCAGGTAATCATGGTGGGCAGAAGAAGAATCGGGGAAGTGAAGTTTCCCACTTTTGGCTCCTTAGGAGTATAATCCTTACTGTTTTTCAAGGACAGTATTGAGAAATTTATACCAGGTAACTCAATTCCATACTTGTTAAATTGAAGCAGTCCACATTTCCAGATGATCTTGTATTCTCATTGGGTATCAGGGCATACTCTCAAGAATTTAGGCTCACACAGGCAATTCAAGGCAGGAGCAAGCACTCTCTTGGCTGTGACAGGATTTTTGGCACTACTAGGAGTCATATGTCCCTTATGCCTTTAATGCTTCATTATAAAAAATCTGTACATAGCCTTACCTAGTTAGAGTTGGACTTACAGTTCTCATTTTACTGTTTTCTTTTTGGGTCTTTTTTTTTTTTTTTTTGAGACAGGGTCTCCCAGTAGCCCCAGCTGGCCTGGAACTCACTGTGTAGACCAGGCTGGCCTTGAACTCACAGGGATCCCCCTGCCTCTGCCTCCTGAGTGCTGGGATTAAAGGCGTGCACCACCGCGCCATTCTCATTTTACTATTTTCAAGAGCAAAAAGAGTACTCCTTAAAAATACTAGTCACCAGAATGCTTTTCTTCTAGAAATAATGCAAGTCTATTACTAAAACTAAAACAATACAGTTATAATAAATGAAAACGTAGAAGTCATCTTTTCTCTTTGCTGTATCATTTCTACCTTTGTTCCATGTGACCTTTAACAGTAGTTTGGGTTTCTCATACCAGACTCATTTGGTATATTTGTATACAAATATGCCCTAAATGTGAGTATTTATCACTTACGTCACATAGATAGGACTCTACTCTAGCTACGCCTATATGTCCCATTGAGTAGTAGTTAGGGATAGACAGCTGCCTTCTGTACCCCCATGCTGTCATCTGCCTTCATTATTGTCATCTTTTCTTCCATCCGTGTGGATAGGGAAGACAAGAGAAAAGACTATCAACTATTGTTCATGGAGAGCAGCCTGGCTCTACTGAAGTCCCTTCTCTTGCCCTGGCCAGCTATCTCTGCCTGACTCCCTGCTGTTGTGTGCTGCACTCATCTCAAGTCCCTTCTGTTGAAGGAGCTGTTGCTGAAGTGAGCTTGATTGAGTGCTGAAAAACAAGACCCAAGGGCTTTGGAGATGCCTTGTTATAAAGCAGTACTCCCAGATCATTTGTCACAGATCACCTCCTACATGGGGATCTTGCACCTTGCCCGTGTTATGTGGACTTGGTGGGAGCCTGGTGTTGCTCATGATTAGTCTTGTATTAAGGATTTAATTTAATTGTCATGTATTAAAGACTGGTTTTCACATTAGGGTAGGCGGAAGAATGAGGGGATACTGTGTCTCTGAAGGTCATTGCCTATTTTTTCTGTTCATTTAAAATAAGAGTTTAATATTTTTTTAATTTTAAAAGTAATATCTACATTATATATCACTTAGGAATTGTAGAAAAGTAAATATAACTCATAACCTGGCCAGTCTAACATTACTGCTCTTCTCTTTTTGATATATTCCTTCTGGTCACATTTATATATACACACATATACTTTAAATTCATTAGTATTTCCCATAGCCCTTTACTTAGAGAAAATATTTTTCTTTTGGGGGTTTTATGTTTTGTTCTGTTTTGTTTTATGAGAGTTATATAACCAAGGCTAGCCCTGAACTCTTGATCTTCCTGCCTCAGCCTCCCAAGGCTGATACTACAGGCATGTGTACCATAGCCATCTTATTTTACTGAAGCAGAATTGGAGTTTATTAAGAAAAAGTTATAATACGGATTTATTTTTTTAAATATTTTATTATTTTGCTGGGCGTGGTAGCACACACCTTTAATCCCAGCACTCAGGAGGCAGAGGCAGGCGGATCTCTGTGAGTTCAAGGCCAGCCTGGTCTACATAGTGAATTCCAGGACATCTGGGTCTATAGGGACACCCTGTCACAAAAGACCAAAAAAATATACATACAGGCTGGGCGTGGTGGCTCATGCCTTTAATCCCAGCACTGGGGAGGCAGAGGCAGGAGGATCTCTTGGAGTTTGAGGCCAGCTTCCCTATTACCCCCTTCTCCAGCAGGTACTGTGAAAAGACATATATATATATATAATTTTTTTTTAATTTTATGTGTGTGTGTATTGCCTGCATGTATATAAGTACACCCGTGTCCTGCAGTGCCTATGGAGGATAGAAGAGGGCATCAGATCTCCTGGAACTGAAGTTATGGACCATTGTTAGCTGTCATGTGGGTGCTGGAATTCATAGGCAGATCTTCTGCAAGAACAGCCAGTGCTCTTAACTGCTGAACCATCTCTCCAGTGCTATAATACAGATTTAAATGAGACCATTAAGACAGGGAGAGAAGGGGCTAGAGAGATAGCTCAGCAGTTGAGAGTACTGGCTGCTCTTGCAGAGGACCTGGGTTCAGTTCTCAGCACCTACATGGCAGCTTACAACTATCCTTAACTCCAGTTCCAGAGGATCCGATGTCCTCTTCTGGCCTTTTTGGGCACCAGGCACACATGTGGCATACTTACATACATGCAGGCAAAACACATATACACATGCACATAAAAATAAATAAGATCTATTGCCGGCCATGGTGGTGCATGCCTTTAATCCCAGCACTTGGGAGGCAGAGGCAGGCGGATCTTTGTGAGTTCGAGGCCAGCCTGGTCTACATAGTGAGTTCCATGACAGCTGGGGCTACAAAGTGACCCTGTCTCAAAAAGACAAAAATAAATAAATAAGTAAATAAATAAACAGATCTTTAAAAAAAGAAAGAAAAGAGAAAGGGGGAATGAAATGTAAGAGCAGGATAGTGGTGCCTGGGTACCTGCCATAGAGAAGTAAGTTGCTCAGGGAAATTTTCTGTTTTCTTTTTGAGACAGGGTCTCACTCTATAGGCCTGGTTGGCTTGGAACTTGCTTTTAATTTTTAGGGTTTGTGTTGGCTTGTTGAGATAGGGTCTCACTGTGTGGCCCTGGCTAGCCTGTTACTTGCTATATCAATAGGTGGGCACCAACTTGGGGCAATTCCTCTACCTCTGTCTCCCAATTGCTGGGATTATAGTCATGTGCCACTACATCTAGCAAAACACTTTGACAGTGATTTCAAATTCTTCTTTAAGAGAACCACTAGAGAGATGGTTCAGTGGTTAAGAACACTGTTCTTGGAGAAGACCCAGGTTCAAATCCCAGCACCCACATGACAGCTAACAACTGTCTGTAACTCCAGTTCCAGGGGATCCAACAGCCTCTTCTGTCCTCTGCAAGCATTGTGTGACACAGGTGCACGTACCTACATGCAGTATACATACATGTAAAATAAAAATAATAAAATATCTGGAAAAAAAAATTATTTTCTGATTTTCTGGTCGTACTGGGGATTAAACCCAGGATCTCAAGCATGCTAAGTAAGCACTCTACCACTGATTATAGGCATAGGTGGGAAAACTTTTTACTAGCACGTATCCATACAGTACTTGATCTCAGTCATCTACACAAATCATTGAAGTTTAAATGTCTGTAAAATAGGAAATGCAAATCAGATATAGTCATCAGAAGTATCTTTAGCTACTGAAGTTTTTTTTTTTTTTCCCTTTGTCTTTTTGAGATGGTCTCCCTGTAGCACCAGCTGTCCTGGAACTCACTATGTAGACCAGGCTGGCCTTGAACTCAGAGATCTGCCTGCCTCTGCCTCCCAAGTGCTGGGACTACAGGCATGCGCCACCATGCCCGGCACTACTAAAGTATTTTTAGTGGCTCTGAGTGGCATATTGTGGGGTCTGTTTATCCCATGTCCTCTCCTGATTGTTGACTCTGATGTCCTCATCTGATTCCCTAACCCTGGCACAGTAAATGGAGCCTAAGGACACCTGGAACATGGAGTCGAGACCTAGATTTGAGTCCTGGCTCTACTTCTCACTCACTGCTACATAGCCAAGTGGTATTGGGGGTGGGGAGGGGATGCAATTCTGATAGCATTACTGAATCTCGCTTCACTCAGCTAAAAAGTAAACCTTCCCTCGCAGGATTTTGGTGAGCAAGTGCATTGCAAAATATGACTCATTCTCCAAATGCAAGGATTGTTATTCCCATTATCTGAGTTGCGATCTTGCTTACTGGCTTTTTTGACCCTAGCGGATGACCATCAGGCTCTCATCTGGGACATCCAGCAAATGCCTCGGGCCATTGAGGACCCTATCCTGGCCTACACAGCTGAAGGAGAGATCAACAATGTGCAGTGGGCCTCAACTCAGCCTGACTGGATCGCCATCTGCTACAACAACTGTCTGGAGATACTTCGTGTGTAGTGTTGGTGGCACTTCGCCTACCAGGCAGGGGCTTGTGTGTTTCTGCCTCTGCCCCTCTCCCTGCAAGTAAGAAGAACATGTTTCCAGTGGCCAGTATGTCTATTGTTGCTTTATACCCACTGTTTCCAGAAGCTGCTCTAGGAGTCCAGGCCAGTTTCCTCTCACTGTCTGTGCCGGACTCAGTGTTGTGTGGCACCACCTCAGCCCAGGGCTGAGTTTTAAGATTTTCACTCCTTTCCTCTTTGCTTCTTCAATTAAACATTTCTGTATATTTGTTTGTCAGCTGTTGTGTTCATGAACAGTATAAGCACTGGCTCTGTTTGTATCCATCTGTCCCAAATGTTTGTTTGCTGCCCAAGGCAGAAGTCCATGTCTTGTCCCCATTCATGTCCATGTTAGCACTTAAGTGGGAACAAATACCAATTTAAAGTTGTCTTTCCTCCTGGTTATCAGTGTCTTTAACAAACCTCAACTTTGTATATTTTTTATCTATCAGGCTAATTTTTTTATGAAAAGAATTTTACTCTTCCTAGTTTTTTTCCTTTGTTTCTGTCCCCTCTCTTTGTACCTTCCTCTCTCCCTTCAGTGCCTGGAGTAGGTACCGGGCACTAGACCCCAAGAGCAGTTTGCCTTCCTGAGTCACAGCCTGAATAGCACACACTTGACCAGGAGTTCCAAACTGCCCTGGTGCTCTGAAGTCTACTGACTCATCAACTTTTTCTCAGTCTGGATCTTCTCAAGGCCCTTACAGGCTCTGGGATAGACACAGGAAGTCATCCAAAGCTCCACTGTCTGCCTTCATTGATGGGCACCTGGTAGAGGAAACGATAAGCAACTGACTAAGAGGCTTGGCTGAGGGAAAATTATTTCAGGAAAGCTAAAACTTAGAGCGTGTTTCTAGTACCTGGTTTCAGAATCTATTTTTCCCTCCGTATCAAAACTTTTGATAGGCAAGAACAGTCTCGAAACTAAACTTTGATATTTCTGTTTGTTGAATTTCCTGTGCCTGGTGGGATTTTGGCCCATCTTTGGATTGAGTAGTCTGAGTAAGAGTCTTCCTAAGAGGTACCGTCTGTGTGTCTGACCCTGTACATTATCTTTAGGGTAGGATATACAGGCAGTTCTCATAAAGGATAGACTAATCAGCTGTGGCAATCCCAGGCCATCAAGTAAATAGCTACAAAAGAATCATGGGCTCCAGGGTCAGCCATCTAAGACTCCCCAATATATGACATTTGCCTTCACCCCAGTGTAGGTTCTGAGCAGTATTGAACTTGTAGGCTGCAGTTGGCCATGTTGACTTTCAGGCTGCAGGTGTCTTGTTTCCGTTACATGAATGAGTTCCATGGAGAGAGCTTGTGTGTGATTTTTTTACTTTAAATGAGTTCCTGGCAGTTTGGGACATGCTCTGGGGAAAGTTTGCCTGGCTCATGCACTGCTAAGGAGCCTGAAGGTTTCTTAGCTTCTCTGACATGAGGAAAGTAGCAGGCCTAAAAGTTGATGGCTTTACCCACTTAGCTGTCATCTGCTGGAGAGATAGAAGTTGACATGCAAATTCTTGTGGCTGAGTCTTCCCTTTCTTCAGCTGATGTAGTTGTATGCCAAAAGGCATAGATTGTTTTACCATTCTACACAGGCTTGTCTCGAGGTAAGACTTTTTCAGTTTCCTCAGCCTTCTTAGTTTGTCATTCAGATTTTTGGTTTCTGTCTAGACAACTGCTTGAAGGATTCACCATGCAGTCACCCTATATCTGTGCAGACATAAAGCACAGCTTGTGATCACCTCTGCTTTTAGTAATGTTTGCCAGTTGGGTACAGGGTCCTCAAGGGTAGCAGGCCAGCTGATGGCTGCTGATTTTGGAGGCCTCAGCTTCTTCTGTGGAGAATATGTAGTGGAAGAGTGGTAGCAGGGACTGGTCCTGCCTGGAGGTCCTCTTGAGTTCTGAGTAGACTTTAACTTGGGCAGAATGATGGATTTGTCAGCTGGAATTTGAAAATAAACTTCTAAAAAATAGCATTATTAGAATAGATCTAAATGAGTTATCTCTGTTTTGGAAACCAACCACTTTCAAAGGTGTTTGCCTTGCCCTGTGGACTCTGTCCTCTTTAAGTCCTGCAGTGAAGTCTTCCTAATCTGTACTCAACCTGAGACCCAGGTAAGACCTTTGCTGCTACCTCTACACAGGCACCCACAGTTCAAAATCCTGGCATTCTGAAGTGCCAGCTCTCTCACCATCCCTATATAGCATAAACAGGTGGCCCTCATGGCTAAGGAAGTGATTTCTGTAGTCAAATATAGAAAGCCCCTTAGTCAGGTCTGAAGCACAGGTATGTTAAGGGTTCAAAAACAAGTCTCTGTTAAAATTTGCTCCAGTTCTTAGACTGTGACAGTGAAGTGGGTAAGGACCTCCAGATCTGCTCTCCTCCAATGGCTGCAGTTCTGGACTCTGGTGTGGCTGCAATGGTGTTTTGACTTGCTTTTGGCAGGACAAGCCATAGGCTGTGGCATCTGCTTTCCGTGTCTGCTGGGGGGAGGGGGGAGGGCATGCTAAAGTCTCAGTTAAGCCTCAAGTCTCTACCAGCAGAGAGCTGAACTGCTGAATGGATCTGAGGCTTCCATGGGCTTGAGCTTTTCTTCTTAGGAGGTTGGATCCCTCTCCTGGCCTGCAAGGTTTAGACTTAAAGAGCAAGGACAACTGAGTGAGAATTTTCTATCACAATCAGGATTGGTTTAAGAACAGGAAAAAAAAAAAAAAAAAAAAAAAAAAAAAGAATCCTACAATATTTTGATGATGGTTATAGGTGAAGTTTTAGGGGGAGATTTAGGATATAGAAGAAAATCAGTATTTCTTTTGGTCAAAGGAAAAAATATTAGAGCGCAAAGAGAGTTTCTGGAGGGAGAAACATCCAGATTGCTACATAGCTTTGGTGTGAGCCTGTGCTGTCAACCTAGGTTGGCCTTCCTGGACCATTAATCAGACATCTATGGCACTGGGTTACTGTGGACAGGACAGGATGACAGCTCAGGGCAGAGAGAGCCCCTTCTTGGAGCAGGGCTGCCATAGGTGATATCTGGTAGTAAACTTCTACAAGTATTGGATATCTATGACTGTGTAAGAAGATGAGGTATTTTGTTTTGTTTCTTGTTTGAAATGGGGTCTTGTTTTATAGCCAGGCTGGCCTTGAACTCATGATCATTTTACCTCAGCCTCCTGAGTGCTGGGATTACAGGAATGTGCCACTGCCCCTAGCATGCATGGTTCTTCTTACAGATCTTTCCTCCTCTCTCCCTTTTTCTTTCTTTCTTTCTTCCTTTCTTTCTCTCTCTCTCTCTCTCTCTCTTTCTTTCTTTCTTTCTTTCTTTCTTCTCCTCTTTTTTTTTTTTTTTTGTGGTGATGGGGATCAAACCCAGGGCCTCTCACACATGCTAGGCAAGTGTTCTACCACTGAGCTATACCTCCAGCCCCTTCTCCCTCCTTTTGTTTTTCTCTTTCTCTTACCTTTCCACTATAGAATGTTCTCCCTGATACATCATGGTCCTGAATAACTAGGCTGTAAGGACATATAGGAGCTGTGGGGTTCACCAGACATGGGTGGGCAGAACTGCCCCTCTGTTCTTCCGCATTCCGAGAATATGACAGCTCCTTTGACTTGGAAGTAGAGAGTACACTTTGAAATAGAAGCCTCAAAGCACAGTTTTCCTTTACAGTCTGTGCTCAGGATGAGGAAGGTGGGGCATACTTGTCTAATTAGTTTGTTTTCTGAGAAGAGAGCTGATCTGAGCAAGGTTACCACAAATACTGGGCCAGGCTTCCCAGTGTATAGTTGTCTGCTCTGCTCTGGTGAGGCAGGTGCTGAGGTTCTCATGTTGTAGAGCTTGCCCACTGCCCACTTGCATCCTCCCCTCCCTCCCACACTGTCACTGCTGCTTATGGTCAAATTCAAGCCTGTGGTTGTACGGAATGAGAAGGTTCTCTCCAGCTACTATCTGGTTGTCATTTTTTAAATAGGGAAACATGCAGGTGCCCTCTCAAAGAGGCTTGGACTAGTGTGTCAAACCAGAAACAATAAGCTAAGGAAAGTCTAAACTCCAGAGGAAAGATGTTGACAGCCTATGCGACAGCTGGAAAATACACAAGCACCCACCTTTGTGACAGCCCAGTGAACTGTACCATCTTCTTTTTAAAAGAAATGTTCTCACCTTGGGTTGATTGTGCTATTCAGTGTGTTATAAAATTGTTGAGCTGAAGCTCTGAATTACTTTAGTCAAGTATGAGTCACTTGCTTTGGTCCCCATGTATTTTATGATCCCTCCTCTGTCAGTGACTTTTACTCCCCGCCCCCCGGAGTGTGAATTGTAGCATGATGTATAAACCTCTATGTAGAAAAATGGAAATTTCTTGTTCTACAAAATGTTAAGCTCTAACCAATTCATTTCTGTGCCCTTTAGCCTAGTGTGTATGAACTTACTTTCCTGTTACATATTTAAACTTTACCTCTATTCTATAGCTTTTGTGGCATCTTTTGTTCAGGTGGAGAGGAAGCTGCCCCTTTGCAGAATTGTACTGTAACCATTTTTCTTTTATAAATATTATTTTCACAGGGCTGATTGTATACAGGGCTTGTAATAAAATTTTAACACTGTGCTGTAAACGAGCTGAGGAATCCCCACTGGAGGCTACTTCAAAAGCACCTGAAAGTGGAGCATTCTTTCTGGAACGTTACTTCTTCATACAGATATTTAAATCTAATTTTCACCCTTTCATTCTGTTTCAGCCTCCTGTATAAGAAGTACCGTATTTTCTGCCCATCATACTTTGTAATAAAACTTGAACATGTATAGATTGAATTTCTTGTGATAAATTCAATTCTTCCCAGTTTGCTCCTGTGGTCATGTTTCAGAGACACTGACTGGGGGCATTAGGCTCCACCCAGTCCCTCACAGTAGTCTTGATGGCCCAGCACATCATCTCATATCTCTTAATCACTCACTTTTTATTCAGTTAAGAAAACCTGGACACTCATTCTATGCCAGGGACCATGATTGTTTACACTTTGCCAGTGGAGTCATTCACAGAGACAATTTTTTGTAGTATTCTTCAGTAATAGGGCTATGTTCAGGCACAGTAGTAACCCTGAGATCACCCCTGCCTGGGTGGGAGCCAGAGGGGATCACCGAAATGTCACAAGATGAAGGATGCCAGATTCAGGATTGAAGACTGAATCTGTCTGGGAATAAGGAATGTCACTTAAGGCCAAAAGGATAGCCTTATGAACACTCGGCATGGTGGTGTATGCTTTTAATTCAGCACTATGGAGGCAGAGGCAGGCCCATCTCTGTGAGATATAGGCCAGCTGGGTTTATATAGTGAGTTCCAGGCCAACTGAGGCTACAGGGAAACCCTGTCTCAAAACAAGAATAGCCATATACAAATTTATATAAGCAAGAAAGAATATGGACATATGCAGGCTTACAACCATATTCAGAGAATTACAAGTTGATAGGTTAAGGGGCTAGAGAGATGGCTCAGTGGTTAAGAGCACTGGCTACTCTTGTAGAAGATACAGGTCTAGTTCCTAGCACCCACATGGTAGCTAACAACCATCTGTAACTCCAGTTCCAGATCTGATGCCCTCTTCAGTCCTCGGACACCAGGCAAGCACATGGTGGTACATTTATATAAATGCAGTCAAAATATTATGCACATAAAAATGAAAATAATTTGGAGCCAGGTGTGGTGGTGCAGGCCTTTAATCCCAGAACTTGTGAGGCAGAGGCAGATCTCTGTGAGTTCGAGGCCAGCCTGGTCTACAAAGTGAGTTCCAGGACAGCTGGAGCTACAGGGAGACCCTGTCTCAAAAAGACAAAAAAAAATATTACGGGGCTGGAGAGATGGCTCAGGGGTTAAGAACACTGGCTGTTCTTGCAGAAGACCTGGGTTTGAATCCCAGAACCCACATGGCAGCTAACAACTGTCCATAACTCCAGTTCCAGGGGATCCAACAGTCTCTTCTGTCCTCCGCAGGTACTGCACAACATGGTGCACTTACCTACATGCAGGCAATACACGCATACAAGTAAAAAATAAAATAAGCTGGGCGTGGTGGCACACGCTTTTAATCCCAGCACTTGGGAGGCAGAGGCAGGCAGATATCTTTGTGAGTTCCAGGCCAACCTGGTCTACATAGTGAGTTCCAGGACAGTTGGGCCTATAAGGAGACCCTGTGTCAAAAAGGACAATAAAGTAAAATAACTAAAATATTTTATTATTACTTTATGTGTATGAGTGTATTGCCTGCATGTAGGTAAGTGCACCTGTATCATGCAATTCCAGAAGAGGTCAAAAGAAGACATCAGATTACCCTGAAACTGGAGTTTAAATAGCCACCATGTGAGTGGTGGGAATTGAATCCCCGTCCTCTGCAAAAACAGCTAGTGCTCTTAACTGCTGAGCCACCTCTCCAGCCCCAAACATCACCTTTAAACTGGAACCTTCATTATTCCCCAAGGTCTGTGTTAATATTATAAAACACAGTCCAGCTTTTTATTTATTTATGTTTTACATTTATGATTGCTTTCCCTGCATGTATATAAGTGCACCACATGTATAAAATGCCTGTGGATGCTAGAAGAGGGCATTAGATCATCTGGAACTGGCATTACAGATGGTTGTTTGACACCATGTGAGTGCTGGGAACTCAATCTGGGTCCTCCCTACAAGAGCAGCCAGTATTCCTTTTTTTGAGACAGGGTCTCCCTGTAGACCCAGCTGGCTTAGAACTCACTATGTAGACCAGGATGGCCTTGAACTCAGAGAGATCCTCCTGCCTCTGCTTCCCGAGTGCTGGGATTAAAGGTGTGTTCCACCACACCCAGCAAGCAGCCAGTATTCTCAACTGCTGAGCCATCTCTCCAAGCCACCACAGTCCAGCTTTTAAAAGTCCCACAGTCTTAGGCTGAACATGCTGGCCCATGCCTTTAATCCCAGCACTGAGGAAGCAGAGGCAGGTAGAGCTCTGTGAGTTGAAGGCCACCCTGTCTATATTGTGAGCTCCAGGTCAGCCAGAGTTATATAATGAGACCCTGTCTCAAAGAGGAAAAAAGTCCTACAGTCTTTAAATTTTTCAACACTAAAAGTTGTGTCTATTTAAAAATCCAAAGCTGTGGGCTTCTGTAAAATTAAAAACAAGTTACTTGCTCATTCAAAAGGGAAGAACTGGGGCATAAAAACAAAGTCAAAATCCAGCAGTGAAAATCCAAATCCTGTAGCTCAGTATCAGGCATCTGGGACTCATTCATGATCTCCTGGGCTCCACAGAGCTTGGACAGCCCCACCTCCCCAGCTCTACATCTGTAGCACATACAGGTTGTCTCCCAGGCTCAGGCTGGCTCTACTCCATACCTACCATTGTCCTTTGTGGACATCCTGTGGTCCTGCCACCGCCAGTATTCTGTGGTCTCCACTGAACCTGAGGCTGTCCCTTTACCAGTGACTATCCTGGCCTCTGCTGGGACTCTGACCCTGCTACACGGTGCCAAACCTCAGCTTCTCTCCACAACCCTTTTTAAGTCTGTAGCTTTCTTGGCTTCAAAACCAGTACCACCGAATGGGTGACTCAGACATTGCCAAGTTTGCTGCCAGCTTGAGATGCAGCCTTGGCCCCTTGAGCCACAGCTTCTGTGTGCTGACCCTGAGGAAAAACTTCTCAGATTTTACCTCAATAGTGCTGATCCCTTGTTAATTACAGCTTGTTCTTTAGCCCCAGTATGACCAAAACACACAAATTCTTAGTCAAATATCAAGTGACTGGCCCTTAGTCCAATTCTTAATCCAGTCCTTGCCCCCTTCTGAAATTTCAGGAGCCAGGCCTCCATGTTTCAGCATTATCTTTCAAGCTTACACAACTCATTAAACTGAGCACTGAATGACTTTTCCAGCCCCAAACTACAAAATCCTGCAACAAAGTAGATCAAAGGCATTAAGAAGCCTTGGTCAGGTTCATCATAGCAACACTCTACTCTTCCAATTTCCTGCTCTAGTTTCCTTTTTATGACAAACGCCATGAGCAAAAGCAACTTAGGGGAGGAAGGAAAGTGGCTTACACTTCCAGGTCATACAGCCTATCACTGAGGACAGTCAAGGCAGGAACCCAACAGGAGCTTGAACCAGAAACCATGGAGAAATTTCTCTCTCTCTCTCTCTCTCTCTCTCTCTCTCTCTCTCTCTCTCTCTCTCTCCCCCTCCCCCCCCCCCCACTCTTGCTCTTACTCTTGTTTAATCACACTTAGCTTTCTCTCTTATATGGCTGTCATACCACCTGCCCAAGAGATTGTTGTCCACAATGGCCTGGGCCCTCTCACAGAATAAGACAATCTCCCACAGGCCAGTCTAAACAACCCCTCAGTGGAGTGTTTCCTCTCAGATGACTCTAGGCTATACAAAATTGACAAAGGTAACTAGGGCATATGCTAAATGAAAGAAGTCAATCACAAAGACCACTTAGTATATACTTCCATTAATATAAAGTGTTCAATAGAAGTAGATCCATGGAGGCAGAAGAAAGTCAGTGGTTGTCTAGGGCTGTGACAAGAGGAAATGGGGAATGATAGCTGATTGGTACAGTGTTCCCTTAGAGTGCTAAAAAAGCAGGCAGGCGTGGTGGCGCACGCCTTTAATCCCAGCACTTGGGAGGCAGAGGCAGGCGGATCTTTGTGAGTTCCAGGGCAACCTGGTCTACATAGTGAGCTCCAGGACAGCTGGGGCTACAAGGAGACCCTGTCTCAAAAAAGACAAAAAATGTAAAACAAAAAAAGCTAAGTTGTCCATATGGCTTTTAGAAGAAAAGATTAAAAGGGCTACCTTATAACAGGGAGACATTTCCCCTACTAGGCACCATAGGCAAGTAAAGGAAAAGCCCAGTGCCAGGAATGGACTCCCTCTTTTGAAGCTGTTGATCAGGGGTCCCATAGATCCTCAAATAGTACTGCCCATTGCCCCTGCTTTTGGTTACCCACCAGAGCTTCATGATAAGCCACTATTGCTGAAGACAATACATGAGCTATAGAACGAACAAGGAGAAATCAAGTTGGTGCTGACTTCAAAGCCTCATCTCTACTAGCTAGCTTTCATAGCGCCAGAAGAGGAAATTTGTCATCAACCTTACCCAGCTGTGAATCCTGCAAACTACAACTGGCCTGGTAAGGTATGAATACCAATGTAACTGTGGTACAAATATTGTAGAGCAACCAACCACTTTCTAATTGGATTTAGGGTCTGCTTCATTGGATGGAGTCCTATGTAACACTGATATCAAGCCTAGAGACTAGACAGCTCACAGGCCATGGGAGAGCACCTAATACTATTATTCTGCTAAATATAGTATTAAACTGACTCCTAATGGCTTATTGTTATACCAATAGATTAGTGCATTTCTCAACTCTAAGAGAAGCTTCCTTGTGCAGCAGATGGTGATTAACACAGAACCACAACTGGCCAACGTGGAGAGAATAAGGTTGCAGGCTTCTTATTTTTGAATAGAATACCTATATCAAACTTCTGCCTCCCAAGGCTCAGGGATCACTGCAGAAGAAAGGGTGAAAAGATTATAAGAGCCAGAAGAAGTGGATGGCCACAAGGAAACAGGGTTTTCCAGACAGCTGGCCAGTTATTCATATGGACTGACAGCAATGGTGACAACATACACAAATCCTATTTAAACCCAAGCCAGATAAAATCCCAGCATAGATGTGGGGAAGTGGGTAAGAAATCCCAACCCTACCTGAGGAACTGTTGGCAATTAATGACTGCTAGGAGGAAGAGAGTCAGTCCTGTTTAAGGGTGAGACTCT